GCTGTGCTCAATCGAATATCGTTTCTGACAGCGCCAAATGTTATTTTTGTCAGGCATACGATAGATTTCTGTGCCACGCAACGACACGAAGGTCGCGTATAAAAGTGGCTTGTAGCAATATATACCCTTCGCGCGAGGAATAATTGTCCATGACTGTTCTCGCAACCTACGTCCACGCGAACAGTGGGACGTTGTGATAGTGCGATCGTTAGTGAGCCGTGAAATTACGACGCCATCGGACGTTTCTACTACCGATGCAATACATTACCATATATATCTCACGAAGCCGCAAAAGATTTTCATTTTACGCCGAGTGAACAGTTGACAGTGGATAGAAGACAGCAGCAAAATTAGTATTATTTAAAAAGTTTTATAATCAGATCAATATTTGCTTGTATATCTTTTAAAGATTTTTTTCTACGATATTCTTTTCCAATCTCGTATTACATGCCTTCTTAGATAGCAGTGAAATTAATAGCAGTGAAATTAATGCAAAGCGGAACAAAAATATTTGATAAAATTGATGCTAAAAATATAATCTTAAATAACAAAAAATTATACGACTGCCCACAGGGTTTCTTGCAGCGATATTAATTAGACTCTGAATAAATTCTCTATATAGTATATAGTATAGCGAGAAAAGAAATTCCTATGACAAATCTACGTAGGAAGTAAGGGGAAGAGTTGTAGACCAGATGAGAAACAGAAATAAAAGAAAACTAAAACAGAGACAGCGATCGAATAAAGAGAAGGAGAAACCATAGGAGTGATCGTGTTTCACCTGCGATATTTATCTTACACAGGAAAACATAGAATATAATTCTAAGATCCCCAAAACGATTTGAAACAAAAGATTCGCCATATGCTAATCAGTTGTTAAGACACATGATGTGTACAAGCGTTGGAACAACGCTGATCATAATCTTCAGAAAAAGGATATTAATATTCAAATGATAAGAAGAATTAACTGTGGATTGTATGAGATTATAATTCATTATAAAATAAATTCTTTAAGTTCATATAAAAAATATAGAATTTATTAAGAATTTCCTACAATTATTTAATAATTTGATCAGATTATATATCGTTACAATTTGTTTACATCACCTCAGAAAATAAGATAAATTAAGAAGAGAAAATATAATAATTTTATATAATAATTTTAAGCAAACACATAATAAAAAGACAACACATGATAGACTAAATAAATTCTATAAAAACAGATTAAGGCTTATAAAAACAAATTATCTGCAATACGTAACACAAAGCGTTCAAAAACGATAAGCAATAAATCACTATCTATAGTAATTTAGAATCTGCGTCACACGTATAAAGTGTAGCTTCTAAGAAAGTGCTGACTTTACCCCTTGGGACGAGTCAAAGTAGAGAAGCTTATGGTCGGGACAAGTGATAGACGCTGCGGAGCGGACAAGTAAAACGGAAAAGGAGTGAAAACGAGATAGGGGAAATCGAGAGGAGAGGATCAAGGAACTCTCCATTCGTCACCGTGGAAATCTCGAAACGTGTAGCGCTGTTCTGACCTGACGGTACGTCGACAGGAGGCCGTATTTTCCCGCGGAAATGTCGAGCACGAGATTTGGGAGAGTTTGCGAGGGAGAGTGTGAGTGGGGTCAGACGGCAGGACTGATTTGGAGTTCACTAACCGTGAAAACATTGCCATCACCGAGAGAAATTCCGAGTGCAATGGTAGAACGAGAAATTGCAGAAATGTACATTTTTCGCGTGTTTCAGCTTGCAATAACATGAAGATTGAGAAAGTGTTGAGAAAAAGAAGAGCACGCGAATATCTTAATGACATAAAACGAGCAGAATATCATCGTTATCTCTGAACGCTTCCAATGCATGGCTCTTGGCAAATATTACTATTCTATCTATCCAATTTTACGAGATTCGATGTAGAAACTGAGTAAAGTTTATAAACATTTATAGCAGCAATTTCGCCTCTCGATCTTATTCAATTTGATACGATGTATAATGTAAACAGCTTTTATTTATATAACAAATAATGTGCTCCGGATATATTGCTCGCACTTATCGTTCAGATATGTTCCTTTACACGCAAGCAAGTTGAGTCGTTTCATTAGCATGCGATTAGACTTATTATTTAATGTCGCGAAAATAGCTTACCAAGAGCGATAATATTGAGTCACGACTATCTAAATGAGCCGGTGGGTGGTGTGACATGCAAATACGATCGCTCGTACTACTTAACGCAATGTTAAATTTCAATTTATTTAGTAGGTGCGGTTATTTAATCGTTGCTTTTCCTTCGGAAAGATCTTATCTCTCTCTCTTCTTGGCGCCATATTAATCATCATATAATAACGTCGCGATTCCTTACATTGAAAATCAGGAATTAGATCAAGTTAACTTTTTAAAATCATCGATAGATCCAATATCTTAAATTTTAAATTATTACACATTCGAAAACTTTTAAATTATCACACATTAAAAGTTGTTCTGTAAATAATGCTCAAGTATCTTTATAAATAATATAGGGTATTTTTCTATCAATTTTATGACACATTTGCTTGTGTCGTATCCAACGAACCAACATCGAATTATTCTGCCGACTAATTAATTTCAAAATTTGTTATTGTTACGGAAGAAGGAACAATCTCATATTTGGAACGCGATTAAAGCTCAAACTTAAATTACGCATCAAAATGAAATTACACTGGCCCGTCCCACACGATCTAACACCGATGGCGATGGCCTTCTCCCTTTCCCTTCCCCTCGTCCCGAGAATTAATTTATGAAACTTACGCCGGTCTTGAGACGAGTTTAAATCTTCTTTCCACGGCGGGCGTTCGCGGTGAATGTCGTGTCTCGTTGTTATCTTAACGGCTGCCATGGCTGCTAACGAGAATACAGGCTGTTCGTTATCTCGGCAGCAAGAGCACGCGCAGACCCTCGGCACGATACTTGAGTTTTATAATATTGCAGCCAGAAACACTATGAGAGCACGAGGTGGGTCCGACCAGCCATTAACATTTTAGAATTTAACCCAGTTAATTATAAGGCAGCAGAAATTCAAATATTACATACTTTCACATCGTAACTTGATTAAATTTTTTATTTTTATTATTACATTTATTTCTTGACACACAATTCGCTCATTCAATGATATAACATTTTGAAATGATGCAAATATGTCATCCCTAATACAGGAAAAATACGATTCGCAGTCAACAATAAAGTAACAATTAGTATATATAATTTTAAAAAGAAAATAATTCTTTTTCGCAGCTTTACAAGTGTATTTGAAAGGGTCATAAAATGTTTCACGACACCGGAATTGTGTCTGACACCTTTGAACGACGTGGTAGTCTCAAGTAAAATTTTTACTGCTTTAACGCTCGTGTATCTCTCCTTTACAACTGGCCCTCGCGGTAAGCATAAATGCCGGTCAACACATTAAAAACGTGCCAGACCGCAAAGAGTTAATTAACCTCGCGACTCTACGCGACAAGTTGAGTCTCCGTTTGAGAATATGCGCGAGCCTTCCGGTGACATACATAGTTAATCACGCGAAACTCCTTCACCGAGTATTAACTAATGTCTGCAACCATCAAAATTCTCGCGGAAAATCCGTAAAGAAGCGCAGTGCGAAGAGTTCCGCGCAGGAGCAACATCATGCGACTTATTGAGGATAGCATATTATATAATACAATCTTCCGTTGCGTTTCAAGGGAACGGTTTTAGAAGATGACGTTGAAAAATCGCGATATAAACAGGCTGCGGAATTACTGTCCGAACCGAAAAGAAGGAGTAATTCGCCAAGAATTTTTAAAGGTCGTTCTTTTGAAAGGCTCGCGCGTTTGGGACAGATTCCTGATTTATGACGGCATTATGGTTACAGCTGGTATTCTTACATCGTGGCTTAACCGACAAGCATATAGCCCACCATATAGTTATGAACGACCTATACACGGGATGCACTATGCTCTCGGATGCTCACTTATGTGCGATGCTGTGTTCACGATGCGCGTTCACGTGCTTTCTCACATCGGGAGATCGTTATCCCCGCGGCGGTCCGAGTAGGCCTAGACAAACGTACATAAATTGAATGCACCGAGATTAGGGGGTTACTCAGCTGGCAACCACTTTGTAATAGTACCGCGAAGGAAGGAGACGAATGGTAATGGTCTAACACTCTCTCGATAGCGTTGCGCGGTTTGGAAGAAACCGATTTGATTTTCGATCGGAGAAGAGCCGCCTGTCGTTTCCTAGTTTTCTCTCTTCGCCGTCGATCACTGTCGCTCATTCCTGATTAAATCACTCGCGCCAATCTTCGAGTGCGCGCGTGAGTATTAAAAGTCGTTAAAGAGCGTTGAAACAAAAAAATTTCGATAATATATATTTAAATAATATATTTATAATATATTTATATATACAATATATTTAATAATTATTATAAATATATATGTAATAATTTATTTATATAATATATTTGTATTTAAATATTTTTATACATTTATATATTGAATAATATATTTAAATAGAAGATAATATATATATTTATATTTCTCTAAATTCTAAATAATAAACGTGCCTAAGAATGTCATCATTGAAATAAATTGACATAAAAAAAATGAAAATTATTTGCGCCCTCCTCTTGCGGAAAGGATACTGAAGATTCTTAATTATCTTTTTCGCGCGTAGACTCAAAAGCGGATTGTTTTGCGAGATGAAGAAAACACTCGCAAGATCCTGTAATTAGCCCGACGAATGCATCGCGGTAGTACTTGTCTCTCGATGAAACGTTAGAAATCCCCACGTACGTTGATCGTTGTCTAATAATGCGACACGAGGCGACGTGGTTCCGACAAGTTCGACGGTGTCGTCGGTTGCGTAATTAAGCGTATGCGAGTACGCGAGTAATCGCACGGGGTTACGTCGGCGCGCATAATTGCTCGGCGCGTCGTCGAGTGTGTCTTTGTTGGATTTACATGTAATTGCAGGTCGGGGGCACTTACGTTTGCAGGCCTTGCGATGCGTGATCGGTCTGGCCGGGTCCCTGTAGTAACCTTCGCGACAGTAATGACAGTGCCTTCCTGCCGTAAAATGCCGGCATTGCAGACAAACGCCTCCGCTGACACGGCCCGACAGCTTGTACAGCTCCATGTTGAATCTGCACTTTCTCGCGTGGAGGTTGCAGTTGCACACTGAAACAGGTAACGCGAGTAATTTTAGTCAGCGAGCGACACGAGACGCGCCATTATTTTATGACTCTACCGTTTTCTTCAATTCCTCCTCTTTCTCTTTTTCTTTCTCTGTCTGGCATGCGCGCGATTTCTTTCCCCCCTGCAATCCTACATTAATTGTCCGGTATTATCGTCATTAGAATGACGTAATCGTAATTAGAGTTTGACGTGGCCGTACAATTATTTTGAGAAAAGGAATCTCCTCCATTATGTTCAACCTACGTGTTGCGTGCGAAAATAATAATAATGTTGAAGTACAAATCTTTTTCTTAAAGTGAGTTAGTACGTATTATATTTTTTGTACTTTTCACATGACAGTTTCTTAAGTATACCGAGAAAATACAATCTTTGCAAGATCTTACATCTACAAAGTTTTACGCGAATAATTAAGATAATTTCATTTTAAATATGTGGTTTACATGGAATGTATAAAATACACTTTCAATCAAGATTAGAAAGATATTTATGCATATTATTTTCCATGAAAATATATATATATATGTATATATATATATATAAGAAAAAAAAAATATATATATATATATATATATATATATATATATATATATATATAAGACGCCAATTTAAAGACTTTTAGTTTAAAAGATGCATTTCTTTCCCAAAATTTGTGGAGAAAGAAAGAGAGAAAAAATGGTTTTAAAAATTTATTTATCTCTCGAAGTGATTAATTTCAGTTAGTCTCACAAATAAAAACTTATTTGTACAAGTACGTATGATTATCTGGATAGATCGTCTGTTATAATTGCATATAAATAAACGCATGCAAATCGATTAATAAGCTATGTACTCGATTAAATCACAAACAACGTTCTTTCAAGTTCAGAAAGGGATAATTCCACCAACGGAATCTGTCGTATGCCTTAAATGCCATCTATCCTACTTTAATTACGCATTGCTGCAAGGTAATAAACGTTACCGCCTAGCACAAGTGCGACGCCCATACATATTATCTCGGTAACTGCGGGTAGACATTTCAGGTATTCCTGCGATTGAAGCATCGAACATCGTGGCGCGCAGCCACAGCTCGTTAATATTACGGAGTTTCATGAAACAACGAAGCGTGCCGGGGCTCCTTCCCTACTTATCGCGATAATTAGTCCCGCGTTTATTCATCCGACCCATGGAAGGAACGCGTCTCGAGGGGATCGTCTTCGCTATCGAACCACGGTCCTCGACTTCTCTCGTTGTGCCCGATCCTTTTCGCCTTGAGTTGCCAACCTGATCCAACAAGGCAGTTTCGATGATTCGTAATTTGTAAGATTTAAAACTTTGACCTAAAATTTCAGAAATTGTGATTTTTTTCAAAATTCAGTTTCAAATCTTTTAAATTATTGATTTTGTGACAAATTCATCAAATTGTATTCGTAAAAAAAATTTGACAAATTAAAAAAATTTTTTTGTATATATCTCTGAAATAGCTCAATCGAATTTTGAATTTATTTTTTATTCTGGATAAAAATAGTTTCACAGTATGTTTCATATTTGCTAAAATCGTTTTTTATATGTGACAACAAGGCACATATTTTTTATATGTGGCACGTTTTTTATGTGACAACAAGTTACATATTTATATGTGTATGTATGAAGATTGAACTTTCTATATTTTCAAATATTTTTGCTGTTTGAACTTAAATGAAATTCGAAAGAGAAAGCTCGATAAATTTTTATTTTTATATGGAAAAATATAGTTGTGTAACTGATTAATCTGCCAATCTCTATCTGTCAATCTACCAAAATAGTTTTCATATCAAGAAGAATTTACAGATTTAATTAAATATCAAAGTCCGCACTATGGAGTTATATTATTGGTTATATAAGTTAATGATTCTATAAAGAATGTTCAAACTTCATATTGTGAGTAAAGATAATACTTGCGAAATTAAAAGTTTTGGAATATAGCATCTATAGTTCTCTTCGTGTTACAAGGATTAAGTGTTTTTAGCTCATGAATCTTGTTGTGTGTATATATATATATATATATATATATATATATATATATATATGTATATAAAAAGTTTCTTTTAACTTTTTTTTTAAGTTAGTTTATTAGCACAAAAAAGATAATATAAATGAATAGGGGATTTCTTATTGGTTAGATAATAAATTACACAAAGGTATTCTCGAGAATATAATTACGTTCAAGAAAGGCAATATAACACAATTATGAGGATACATATCCTCTAACTTTACATCGTCAACTTATTTCTTATTTTTTATTAAATAATTCTCATCAAATTCATACTTCTGTAATTGTATAACGAGTATTTCAATAAATAATGTAATGAAATTTGTCATACATCTTGTTTTATTTATTGAAATGCTTTTGTAATTTTAATATATTTTCAATTCTCAACCAATTTATCGAAACGAATTTATTAATATTATTGACATCGATAATTTTTCTTTCGACTCATCATTGAATTCTCGCGCATTGAATTCTCGAGATGCTGAGGGGAGCATTCCGGCAAGAATCGTGCCGTAACTTCCTTTACTCCGAGCATCGACCGGCCTATATCACAATGTCCTGAAAGTATAACGGAATAATTGAAAATGCGCAGAAGGGGAACACGCGATATAGATACCGGGCGATGAAATCAACGTGGGGAATTTGCAGTTTTAACGATCCACCCTTCGCGCGTTCGTAGACTCTCTCTCGACCCAATAATCCCGCGTGTCTTGAATTGCGAGAAGCGTGCCTTATTTTCTGCTCGCGACATTCATTACCGCGACCCTTCTTTTTTTTCGCCATTCGGTGCGCTCTTTGTCTTCCTTCTCACTCGCTCGGATGCTGACGTCGCTGTATTCTGCTTGAGAGAGTTGCTGTCGTGATTTATGCGCACAAATTAGTGCGCTTTAATCGATTAACCGAGAGCATGAGGGGGAAAGGAAAAAGGTTTTACTTTCATTTGAAATCGCAAATTTATAATTAAAGTTGAACTATATTAATGGATTGGAAAATAAAAACGTCAAGATTTATTCAAAATTAGAATAAAAAAAAATATAATTAAGAAATGATAGTATTTTGAGACATTTTTTATCTTTAAACTCATTAATTACTCATTAATAAATTGTGACAAAATAGCAATATACATATTTTCGAAATATGAAATAACGCTTAAAAATCTGTATAATGTGCTCTTTAAACGTTTATATGTAGCACTATCTTTCAACCACTTTATCTAAAATCATTCTTATCAAGTGAAAAATCCTCTTAAAGTAAGTTGTTATCGCTTAAGAATTTCGTTGAGCAAACGACTGAAACACAAGATACAAGCGAGCTATTGTTTCCGGACAAATCATCAGGAGCGGATGCTCGTTTCTTTCAATTGTGATCCAATTTACAATCTTATGTTATAGTCTTTCTATATATTCTCGTTATCAGAGTTTGTTTCTCTACGGAAATGAAATATAGGAGACTGATGTGTTTTTAAGTCTTTCTTTCAATCGCACTTATATATTTTTCAAAACTCTTGTTTCTGAAGTGTTCATTCTTTCAAACTTTTCAAACGTATTGTTATGTTTTCAATATGATTCTATCTTTATATAAAAAAACTCTTTACAAAATACATAATTGCCTTTCGATTATTTATAATAATATCAATTAATTAAATATTGTTTCTCAAATATAATTATGTTAAGAGCTATATACTCGAGTTTATTAAGCTCAAGATCAATAGCATTTTCTTAATGCTTTCATTAGCGAGCTAGCGGAAATTTCTGATGATTTATGGTAATTCAACTTGTACCAAGCGCAAGATTTGATCGATGGATAAGAATGTTGTTGAATTCGAGATGGCCGCTATGTATCGAGGAGGGGGAGGGGTCGATCGGATAACCTTCCGATAGTTAATAACCACGCTCAGCCACCGTATGAAATTCTACGATCGGTTCCTGTTATTAAGCCGTAGTTAGCCCACGTCAGTGCCTGGAGTTGTTTTCGTAAAGATGATCGCCGCAATTAACGATCAATCGAAGTATCGACGAGTCCTCCGGCGTTTACCGCCGGCACTTGAGGACGAATTAGAGTAGTTCTGAACCTATAGGCTGCCGATATTAATTAACTCTGACTGAATCTCGTGACTTATAATAATCCTACGTAACTTGATTTTTACATTTCTTACATAAATCAATATAATCGCAAGAAAATAAAGTGTTACTAAAGCAAACACTGAAACTCTAAACCTATCTCAAATAAATTAACCCTTTGCTGGATATGCTATGATTAAAATGAAAATTTAGTAGCATTTTTTATTTCTCAGATAGCAAAGAAGAAGTTGATTATTATATATGAAGTTGATTTTTTAAAAGATTCTATTTTCCCATAAAACACATATATGTAGATATATAATATGTATATATTATATTTAAAAAATTTTTATTACACTTTTATTTAAATGAATATTTCTGAAAAGAATAAAATTAGTAGAATATGTAAGAAAAAACCACTTTTTAAAAAAATTTCTAAAAAAATTTATTATTGTTTAAAAAATTTTCTTTTTAATGTTTCAAAAGTTTTAACTTTACATAACTTTTTACAATGTAAACAAGATGATAAGGTATTTTTTAACCAATTTGCCAGCAAAATTTTATTCAAGCAATGACAACAAGATATCAAACTGGCATGTTATTTTGCTAGATTCCATTTAGATTTTTGATATTTTTCAATCTTTCTTCTATCGCGCATATGTTGTTTTAGTTTCAGTTCTCTGAAATTTTGCAATATTTTGTTCCAACGAGAAAAGATTCTGTTTTCCGAATTTTATCCGAAAAGAAAACGAGACCAATTGCAAGGGATGATCTGCCTCTTGTTTCGAAAAAGAACAAATATCGCGGAATGCGAATAGATGTCTGATCTGACTTTTATCACGCATACCTTGATTATTTCGTTTCATTTCGAACATCGGACATTTTTAATTTTCGACATTTTCTCGTATAATTTT